ATGCTTTGAGGTTGTGTCCTTGACTTTAAGGGTTCGTGGGAGAGGCACTTGCCATTAGTGGAGTTTGCGTATAATAATAGCTTTCATTCGAGTATCAGTATGACACCATTTGAGGCCTTGTATGGCCGATCGTGTAGATCTCCCGTATACTGGGCCGAGGTGGGTGATGCACCTATGTTGGGTCCAGAGTTGGTCAGGGAAACTACGAAAAAAGTTGCACTTATCCGTAAGATATTGGCTACTGCCTAGAGTCGTTAGAAAGTTATGCTGACCGTAGGAGGAGACCCTTGTCTTCTAACGTGGGAGATCATGTGTTCTTAAAAATATCACATAGGAGAGGTTTGATAAGGTTTGGAAAAAGTAGGAAGTTGTCTTCTCGGTTCATTGCGCCTTTTGAGAACCTTGAGAGGATTGGAGAGGTAGCTTACCGTTTGGCCTTGCCACCACAACTTTTGGGGGCATATGATGTGTTTCATATTAGCATGCTTCGGAAGTATGAGTCGGATCTATCGAACGTGTTTGATTGGACCAACTTAGAGGTAGATGAGGATGTCTCGTATGAAGAGAGGCCGGTGAGAGTCTTGGATACTTGGGACCAAGTCTTGCGAGGCAAGACAATCCCCTTGGTTAAGGTATTGTGGAAACATCACAGGGTGGAGGAAGCAACTTGGGAACACGAGTTGGAAGTCCGTGAGAAATATCCAAACCTATTTGTTGATATTTGAGCATGTAAGGAAATTTTGTTATGTTAATGAACTATGAAAACATTGTATATGTTTTGTAGAAACATTGTATATGCGCCTATGTTTTGGAAATGCAAGTTTATTATAAACATTGTATATGTTTTAGAAATATGAATTATGTATTCAATATCGAGAATTCATTTATTATGATTAATGGGATTGAATGACCGGAGAATGAGTCAAGGGGATGAAATCGAATGATTATCGTTATTGTAAATGGTTTTAACTTAGTTTTAAAAACTTGATTTGAAATTTTAGGGACGAAATTTTTTAAGGGGGGAGGTTATAGCGATTTCGGTTTTGACCTGACCCTTGTTGTAATCTGGACATGGGTTTCTTGATTTCGTACTATTGAATATGTCTTGTTTATCTTCCTTTCCCTTAAACTTGGCTATTGGATTGTTGTGGTTGAGTTTGGGACAGGTTGGTTGTTTGGTTTCCCAACTCTTGTTGCCCAAAATTTTGCTCTTCCGCTTGAGCGGCACTTTTTGCACTCGAGCGAGCTTTGCAAACTCTTAACACTTTTACAGGTTTGCAAACTACTGGGAGAGTGTATTCTATGCTCGAGCGGCGTTTCCTACGCTCGAGCGGCTATTCTTGCACTCGAACGATGTTCTTCTGTCTGCAAAACTACTGGATGTGTGTATTATGCGCGCGAGCGTCACTTCTTACACTCGAACGGAACAAATTGTTGTGTCTGATGCTTGAGCGTCAACTCTTGCACTCGTTCGCAGTAACATTCTTTTTTATCTCTTTCTCTCTCAAAACCCTAGATCTATAGCTCCTCTCTCTAAAACTCACACTCTCTCTACTTTTTCACCTAGATTTAGTGGTTTTTCCACTCTACTCTCTTTGATAAAAAGATAGAGCAACTCGAGGGCTACATTCTCATCTGAATAGAGTTGGATCTCAACGTGGTTTGAAGTGTCTCCATTTTCTCTTTCGGATTCTAAACTTGAGGTAGGGACTTTCTCCACTCTCCTATAAGTTTTAACTTAGTTGTTTGTTGTTGTGTAAGAAATAGTGAAACATGAAATGATGTTGAGCAAACCTAGGGTTTGGGATATGAAATTAAATGAGGGGTTTTGTAATGAAAAAAATATATATATATATATATATATAAATGATTATGGGAATAGGGACGGGATGTGTTATGAGAATTTTAGTAATTTGGTACTTGGGAGGAATTTTGGACGGAAATGGGGTTTTGCCCTGAAACTTCTTAAATAATTATTTTGCACAAATAATGAAATTGGTATTGGAAACACGAAATTGGATATGTATTTATATGAATGATGGAGTTAGATATGTATTACCTCTCACCTATAAAAATTTGAGTAATTTATCTATCTTTGAGATTGTATATCTCTTTAGAAATATCTGTTTTGGATTATCGATGGAGGATGGCCATGATTGTTGTAGAAATTGCATGTGGATTAGGCAAATTGAAACTAATCTCTTAGCCATTATCATTGAATATGATATGATTTATATACATTGTACATATATGATGTTTAGGAGGAGAAATGGGATGAACTCCATTGAACTAAGTTGGCCTGTGTGTCTAGGGTGAAAGTCCCGAAAATCGCACATATATATTGTTGTCGATTCCCGCGGACGAAATTTTCATAAAATGGCAAGTGAATGTATTTTGTATGATAATTATATTGGTTGGAGACCTATGGGGTGTATCCTCTGTTTGGTTGACTAGATGAAATGGGTATAACTAATGAATTGGGATGTAAGTTTGGCATAATATGGTTTTGGAAAAAGGTTGTAAAATATTTGTCATTTGGACATTGAACATGTGCATCATACTTACATCTTTGTTAATATTCACATATTGTGTCAGATTGTTTCTGCTGGATTTTAGCTCACCCTATTGGGAAAAACCATTTTCAAGTGCTGGTGACATGCTTCCGCCAAGACAATAGATTGGAGAGACTTGGAGCAAGGGCTCATTTTTGTTGTGTTTAATTTTTATAACCAATGACTTTAACTGTATTGAGCTAGACTCATTTTGTTGTAATCAAGGAATGACTTGGAAAGATGTGAGCCGTTAGGGCGTTTAATTATCTGTTCAACTTTCATCTTTTGATAACTAGTGACACATGTTATAGATTTAGGATAGGATATTTATGAATGTATATCGCATATGTTACCTTTTGTATATTAACTCTAATGAGTGAAAGTATGTTGTTTCAATTCTATTTTCGCAAACGAGATGGGTTTGCCATATTTATTTTTGGCACGTTACAAGGCAAGACCACATCCCAAAAATTTGAAAAATATCAAATTATTGAAAATTTTTAAAATAATTTAAAATTATAATGATTTGTACTCGTAAACATACTTTCGCTCCCCCATGGTGATAATTCTGGATCCATCTCTGTTATGTCTTCATACAATATACATTCATTTGGCTCTTATAAGCTGTTGATTTGTTTGGAACAACTTTTTATAATATATTTAAAAATATAAAAAAATAAAAAAATCATGAGTTTTAAATTTTATTAATTTAAATATTAAACTTTTGATTTGGTTTCAATCGAAACTATTTATCCATTTTCGTTAAGCAAAATCAACTGAGAAAGAATATTTTATTTATTGAACTTAGTGAAAAAATAATGTTTATACATTTTATATACCCCTAAGTTGAGTTTAATAACTATTTTTTTTTTTTTGACAATTTTAATTAACGAAAATAGGTAAATGGTTTGGATTGAAAACAAATTAAAAATTAAAAATTTAAATTGACAAAATTAAAAAAAAGTTATGAGTCATTTTGTTATAAGAGGCAAACGCTATTTTTTTTTATTTTTTTTTTTTGGGTGCAAATATTTGAGATACCATCAAAAGTTAATAATTAAAGATATTATATATTATGTGAAGTGTATAAATATTAAAAATTGCTAAAAGGCAGCCAGACAAAAGGGCAAAAGCCTTGGCCAAAACGTGAACGTTTAATGGGGCAGCTATAAGTTCCACACAGAGAGAGAGAGTAGAGCTTCTTTCTGTAAGTGATTTTTGGCCATGCTCCGGCAGTTTTTCGGCGAGATTTTGGTGACTTTTTTATACTTTTAAATTGTAGATCTACATTCTTAGAATATAGATTTTCAGTTTTATAGTGTAAATCTAAACGTTTTATGTCCGAAATAGGAGTTTTGAGAGTTTTCTCTTCTGATTTTGAAATAAATTTTTAGATTTTTAACACCCACCATGGTTCCCTCCTCTCTCAACGCTTCTTCCATACCATTGTGGGTGTCTTTCCTTTTCCGGCGACAGTGGTGGCGAAGTTGGGCAGCAGTGACGGGGACGACGTCAACGGGATGGTGGGCTTTCAAGCAGATCTTATTTTCCAAACCACATCTTTGAATAGATCGGTCACTACAACAAAATGCACATTTGGCGACTATATTTTTAGTCGCCAAATACTTTGCCCGACTAAATATTTTGGTCGCTAGACTGGTCGCAGAAAACTTGTCGGGGAAGGTATTGGCGACTAAATATTTTTTAGTCGCCGAAAGTCCTATAAATGGCGACTAATAGTTTTATTCGCCAAAAATAAAATTTTAGTCACCAAAAATCTTATTTTCCACTACTAAAACTTTGGTCGCCAAAACTTGAAGTATCTATGGCGACCAAAGTTTTAGTCGCCAAAGGGTTTTTTCATCTTTTTATTTTTTTATTTTTTTCATTTTATTTTTTTTAGCTAGTAAATTCTTATAGTCGCCTAAAATCTGCTTTTATTTTAGCTACTAAATATTTAGTAGCCAAAAGTTTTTCTCCATTTTATTTTTATTTTTAGCTACCAAATATTTAGTAGCCAAAAGTTTTTTTTTCCATTTTATAAATAAAATTATCTATATACTGATAAAATTAGCAACCATTCCACAACACACGCACATTTCACTTTCAACCATAAAAAAAAAAATCATATTTAACATCAAATTAATATTTTCAAAAAAAATATATAATTTCATACATAACAGAGGATTAAACAAAATTAATATCTAATTGTTAATTTGGCAAGAAACCAACTAACAAAAACACCAAAAACATAAAAAGTAAAATAAAATAAAAAAAACTAGTGATGAAGCCAACTGCAGTCCAACCCTCAAAGCAATTACTGAAGCAAAGCTGAAAGCTGCATACATAAATTAATATAGATCAGTAACATAGATCACAAACAGTTGCTAACAAAAGATAGCACAAACAGATACATAATTTTTATCCATCATCAATTCACTAAACATAAAAAGTAAAATAAAATAAAATAAAAAACTAGTGATGAAGCCAGCTGCTGTCCAACCCTCAAAGCAATTACTGAAGCAAAGCTGAAAGCTACATACATAAATTAATATAGATCAGTAACATAGATCACAAACAGTTGCTAACAAAAGATAGCACAAACAGATACATAATTTTTATCCATCATCAATTCACTAATCAACTTTTCTCATTTTATTCTCAAACCAAGTACAAAATAATTATATAGAGCAGAAATGAGAAGGCATACCAGAGTAATGACCATTCAAAAAATATATAGCATAATCAATAAGTTTCACCATTTACATTCTCTTGCATAAACCCATATGTATATTGTGCATAATGAGCTAATCTTCTGGGAAACTATTGACAATTTCGAACATGCTTGAAGAATTAAAACATAGGTATAAAATTTTTACCCATATGTATATTTAATTTAGGTGATTAAGACAGATAGTAGAGCCAAGTAGGTGATTAATCCAACACGTATCATCATATTTGACCTTGTTGGTAAAATAACTAGAGCAAGGAGCCATGCCTGCATAATCAAGACAGTTAACTATGTCAAAATTAAAAGACAGTGAAATAAAAAATAAATAAAAAAAAGAAAATAGCATTTAAAGAATAAAAGAACCAACTCAATTGCGGTAAAAACCACACTGCAAATGTTGGTAACATAGTAGTTCAAGACTAAAGGTTAGCTAATGTAGTGCTGATACTAGGACCGATATATATTTACAAATTCAGACTTATCATGCATTTAATTAACAAAAAAGGATTATCATCCATTAAATGCCCCATGCTTGGATCATCCAGTAACAGATCCCCATAAACTACCCAATGATTTTGAGCATTTCCTGCATAATATTTTTAGAGCATTTCCTGCATAATATAGGAGTTTTATGTATAGTTTTATGGTGAACTCAAATTACTAAATATGCTTGATGGGTGAATGTCCAATTACATATTTTGGATACATATTCGATACCCTTCTTCAAGTTTCGAGACACTTAGACACAAACCCGCACTTAACACCCATAATCAAGTCCATGTAACATAGACAAAAGCAAACCTTAAACGATTCTTTTACATTTACAATAAGTCCCTTTGTTTGAAGAATAACCATTGGGCCATTTTGATCATTTTTAGTGAAGACCGAGTGGACACCAAAAGTTGTCCATGCTTCTTTTTTTTTTTGGACAAGTTAAAGTTGTCCAGGTTTAATATGTAGTAATAATGGACAGATAATAAAGTTTCAATGAAGCAAGGATTACTAGATTCTAGAAAAAAATTTAACCATTGTGCACCCAGAAACATAGTGACTCATGTGCTTTCCATTAAGGGTTATAGTTCCTTAAGGCATCTACAAAACAACTATCCTCCAACAAACAATGGCAACCCCCAGAACATAACATATTCTTAAACAAGTTAGGTAACTAATTTCTCAAGCGTATTATTCACATTTTTTATTAGCAGTACCTGCATAGTGTCTCTTCTTTTAAGCAAATATTCCCAGATTTGATCACAATGGCCAAGTGCATATGAAAACATGAAAATATATCTATGCATATGAATAGCAACTCAATGGTTCAGATAAGTCAGGATCTGGTAATCCTTAAGAAAATATCAACAACCCAACACCAGAGTCATATGCATATGAAATGCATCCACTTGCCCACCCATCAAGCATCCAATGTACTAACATGCATGAATTTTAACCCATTTTCATCCACTTAAATTGATTATTACATAAATTGATTATTACAAATTACAATTAATTATTAAAACCCAATACAAAGCACTTAGGACATAATGCACAATAACTATTTTGGGACAAACAATGATATATTTACAGTAACGATTTGCCAACAGATAAGATAACACAAATAGTCAAAACTAATAAGTTGGCATACCCAGATCCCAAACTTGAAACTTTATGTTGTTATATTGAACTATTTCCACATTAAACCCAATTGCTGCATCAAATATATACACATAGAAATTAATCCACAAGTTCCAAAATAAGAAAATATGACACTTTAGAGTGAAGTATCAAACTTTCCACTTCTGAAAAAAAAAAATGCAGTAAATCAGCACTATAATTTTTAAATTAAAAATGTTATCAATTTGTAAATCATGAATCTGATGGTCTCCAATCCCCTGATCTTCTTGGCAAACAAAGAAAGATTATGCAAACAAAAAAGAAACCAAGAAAGAGTACCAACTTGGAATTGTGGAGACAACTTCACTCATCTGAAGCCAATCTGCACAAAAAAATGAAATCGAGTTACTCAATTATCAAAATTGGGGAGAACCCAGTTGACAGAAATGCAAGATCAGAAAAGGGTAAGGGCAGAATCAAAGAATCATACAGAGAATTGTGGTTTTTCCAGCATTGTCAAGACCAAGAACGAGTTTGTTACCAAAAAGCGAAGAGAACAATCGAGTAAACACAATCCCTATTTTTCTTCTCCCTTAGATGGAGAATCAAAAGGACCAATCAGATCTTTAAGATCCCCACAAGAAACCTCTGAATATTTTGAGAGAGAGAGAGAGAGAGAGAGAGAGAGAGAGAGAAAAAAAGCATACGCGAGACGGAGCATCAATGGAGCAGAGTTCATCTTAGCGATGAAGCCTCTGGATCTCGCGGCGGTGGATCTGTGAAGATCGGTAGAGGAGGAGACGGCGGCGGCGTGAAAAGATCGGTGGTATTCACGATGACGATGGCGATGGCGATGGCGATGGTGATGGCAGAGGAGGAGGAGGTGCTCCGGTTTCCGTCGAAGGCGAAGAAGAGCAGTAGTAAGAGAGAGAGGGGAGAGGAGTAGTGGAGACGGGAAGGGAAAGGGAGAGGGACGCCGAAAATAGAGAGAGAGAGAGAGAGAGAGAGAGAGTGAGAGGCGCAGATTATTTTAGGGTTTGGTTTGGTACAAAATATATATATATATATATCATTTTATACAATTGACGACTAAAATACCTACTGGTCGCCAATTAATTTTTTTAATCCATTCAAAAATTGAATGGTCTATAAAATATATCATCTTTGGCGACAAAAGTATGTTTTGGTATTTGAAAGGTCTCTAAAATATATCTTTGGCGACAAAAGTATGTTTTGGTCGCCAAAGATAAAAGTATTTTTTTTTCAATTCGGCGATGAAATCATTTTAGTAGCCAAAACAAACTTTACAGCGACTAAAAAAAAAATTTGTCGTTGAAAATAAATTTTTGGCGACCAAAAATTTGGTCGCTAAAGATAAATTTTTTTTTTTTTCAATTCAGTGACGAAATCATTTTAGTAGCCAAAACAAACTCTATAGCGACTAAAAAAAAATTTTGTCGCTGAAAATATATTTTTCGCCACCAAAGTTTGGTCGCCAAAGATAAAAAAATAATTTTTTACTTTCAATTCGGCGACTAAATGCTTTTAGTAGCCAACACTCAATATGCGATGACTAAATTTTTTTTTGTCGCCAATTCTGAAATTTTTAGCGACTAAATTTTTTTTAGTCGCCAATAATCAGTATATGCCAACTAAAAAAAATTAGTAGCTAAATATTTTACTTTTGCCGACTAAAAAAATTATTAGTCACCAATTCCCCAACTTTTGGCAACTAAATTTTAAATTTTGGTCGCCAAATGTGTATTTTGTTGTAGTGTTAACTCATGGTCCTTGGTGTGATATTTAACTCTATTAATGATATAACCAGAAAATCTAGTTGTCGTGTCATGAGGGCCTAATGCCAAATCTCCAATCTCATCTAACACTTGCTCAGACCCTGTAACTTGTAACCTGTGGACCTATATTGACATAATTAAGGAAATGAATATGCATCATTATTATAAAGGATATGATGTATGCTTGTGTAAGATATACTACTTATGTAGTTTTGAAACCAAAAAGGAAATGCTTCATGGTGAGTACGAACAAATTCACGCTCTCTAATACAATAATTGCTTTGTTTGATGAACTCACGATGAATCCTACATTGTTTATTTAGGTTGGCCAATGAAATTTTAAATTGTAATCAAATGTTAAATTTAATTATTTAAAAAATAAGATAATACATCTTAATCTCGATATGGAGTAACTGCATTAGTGTTGAAGAGGACATATCGATGAACCTATTTCTTTTGTATATCATTAAGTACAAACTTTTCATCTTTTCCTAAAGAATGACCCCCTACTTGACCATCATTATCATTTCCATCATAATTCCTTATAGGTTTATTTAGCTTGGACTCGGTTTCATCTAAATACCTAGAACAAAATGTCATACAATCTTCAATCAAGTACCCTTCTGCGATGGAGCCGTCAGGATAGGATTTATTATGAATGTATGACTTAAGTGTCATAAGGTACCTAATGCATATAAATTAGTGATTGCCAATGTTAAAGTCAGTGCATGAAAGAGGAATTTAAAAAATAAAGTGCAATTTGCACTATTGTCTATCTGTATACCTCACGATGCAGTACATTCACTGATATTGCACAGAACGACCAATCTTAGCTTCCTCGGTTAAATAAATAGGTAAATGCTTCATTATGTCAAAAAAGGATGGGGTAATATTCTTTCAAGATGACAAAGAATGAGAGCAATTCGAGATTAAAGACAATCCAAGTCATCAACCTTTAAAACTTTTGAGCACAGTTGTCTAAAGAAATTGCATAGCTCTATTAATGGTCCGCGCATTTTCTTAGGGAGTATTCTACTTATTGCTATTGGAAACAACTACTCTGTCAATATATGATTATCATGACTTTTTAGTCCAAATATGGTACATTGTTTTACGTTGACACAACATGAAATGTTAGAAGCATAACCATCTGAAACTTTTACTTTTTGTAGAAGATTGCAAAACATAGTTTTCTCTCTATTGTCCATTGTAAAACACGCATGAAGCAAATAATATTTGTTACCACCTCTTTTTTGGAGATGCAATGTCTTTCGAATACCCATTTCCTAAAGATCAAGACGAGAATTTAAGTTATCTTTTCCTTTGCCATCAACATTTAATATTATCCAAAGTACATTATCACATATATTTTTCTCAATATGCATCACATCAAGATTGTGTTGAATCAAATTATCCTTCCAATATGGAAGCTCAAAGAAAATACTTTTCTTCCCCCAATTGTATAATGAACTAGTATCCTCATCTTTATTATCCTTATGTGTCTTTCTTTTCTTTCTAACATTTGAATTCTCTTCTTCTTACTTCCCAATATTGACAAAGTTGACCGGAAACATGGCTAATAATTATGATCTAGATTATCGAGTTGGATAGGTCTCAAATTCAGTCATGCCATCAAAAGACATGTGTTCATATCTAAATTTATGGTCCTTATCCAACCATCGGCGATGCCCCAAATAACATATCTTTCTCCCGCGGACCAATTGACGAGAATGAGTGTTAACATAACAATAAGGACAAGCAAAATGACCCTTTGTGCTCCAGCCTAACAAATTAGCATATACAGGGAAATCATTAACTATCCACAACCAAAATGCATGCATTCCAAACATTTCATTACTCATTGTATCATAAGGGTTAACATATGTATTCAATAACTCCTTCAATTCATCCACTATAAGGCTCAAGTATACATCAATATCATTTCCAGGTGCTTTCAGACCATAATTAAGTAGTGACAATATCATGTAAGGTTATTTCATACACAACCAAGGAGGTAAATTATATGTCATCACAACAACGGGCCAAGTGCTATGGGAAATATTCATTTTACGAAATTAGTTGAAACCATCAGCTGCTAACCCAAGCCTAACATTGTGAGGGTCTTGAGAAAAATTAGGATAATACTTGTCCAAAATGTTTCCATGCACCATAATCAACTGGATATCTCATTATGCCATTAGGAGTTGGATTCTCAGTATGTCATCGCGTTAACGAAGCAGTCTTAGATGACATAAATAATCTTTTGAGCCTGGATATCAATGGAAAATACTTTACAACCTTTTGCTGAATTTTTCCCATGCTTTTGCTAGGTTCATTGCTTGTTCTTCAAATTGTTTATATCTAGGATTTTGACAAATTTTGCAATCAATACGTTCATCATTCTCCGCCTAATACGTCATACAATCTCTAGGGCAAGCGTGGACCTTACAATAATCAAGGCCCAAAAAGCCTAATAGTTTTTTTGCCAGTGCTGAAAGAGTCTAGCAAAATTTCACCCTCAGGTAGGACATCCTTTAATAACTTTAGCAACTTAATAAAAAACTTGTTAGTCTACCCACATGCATTAATCGCACAACAAATGAGAGCAATTGAAACTCCTGACACCCATGGTACAACTCTTGCTCAGCTTCCTTCAATAACTTAAAAAATTTATTTGTTTCTTTGTTTGGACCCTTGCATGCCATCACCGGGTGGATCATTAGGTTCCATACCACAGGAAAGGCATTATGGAAAAATGACAAATGCATTGCATAACATTTCTTGCACCTTAAGTTGATCTGAGTCAACTTGGCTATTGTTTTCAGTACCACAGTTTGTAGACCTTAATTCTTCTCCATGAAAAATCCAGCGAGTGTAACTTGGATTAAACTCATGCACAATAAGATTTATTTTAGTATGCAAAGTATGTTAGGACATTAATCCATCATAATATCATGTAGTTTCTTAGTTTAATTCACTTTTTCATCTTTTTTTGTATGTTTCATCTATCCTCTTTAGAACAACATGTTTAGGACTTGTTAAGCATATAGAAATTATATGTTAGGCCCTGTAATATCCCAGTTCTAAAACCCAACTTGTAATCCACTTGTGTGGATGCCACGGTACACTTTTGGGCTTATAAATGGGTGATGATGTTATTATTATCTTATTTACTTGTTTTGTTATGTTGGTTGTGGTTAGGAGTGGTTTTGTACACTTAGAACTATTCCAGGAAAATAGGGTGAGAATCTATTCTGATCTTTATCGTGCCCACGATCTTATAGTCACACCCGCGACCAAGACGCGACCAAAACACATTTTTAGGTCCTTAGGCTTGGAAAAGTTGCGTGACTTGCGATAGGCTGTGATGGAGGCCGCGAATAGCATGGTCACACCCACAATATTATAGTCGCTCCCACGATGTTGTGAATCGCTCATGTGACCAGGCTGCGACCAAAAACCCCTCCTAATACTTTTGTTTGTATGTTGTTCTGCGCACTCGAAAAGTTAAGTGGCACTCGCGACTGTGTCTTTCGCACTCGGGATCTAGACCATCGCGCTCGCGGTCTATTAGCTACATAAAACAGAGCAGTGCACAAAAATATCACTTTTTTCTCAACTTTCTACACTCTCTCTCTCTCTCTCTCTCTCTCTCTCTCTTTGCTAAACTAGTAAGTTATATTTCTTTCGCAGAAAAAAAAAAGAAAAAAAAACTTCAACATTTCAAAAGATAAAATTATCTCAAGGGTAAATATCTATGTTCGAATATCATAGAGGTAGGACAAGAGTTGATTTTTAATTTGTTGCGGTAGCTATACAAACAACAAGGAAAATTCAAGGAAAGTCATCTATAAAATTAGGCTTAATTTTTATATAATCTCGTAATTGGTTTTTTGTTTACTGCAAAATAATAATATAATGTAACTAGATAATATTTCTCAATCAATTTCAACATAAAAAGCAATAAATATAAACAATTACCTGGAGCAACATAGCCAATTGTTCCTCTTATCCCATTTGAACTTGATTGCTGATGATTGGATATTCCAATGGTTGTTGAAAAAATCTTGGCCATGCCGAAATCACTAACATGGGCACACAAGTCACCGTCAAGAAGAATATTACTTGGCTTTAAATCACAATGAATAAAAGCCATTTCACAATGATGGTGAAGATAATCCAATGCACATGCCACATCGATGGCAATGTTTAGCCTTTGAACAAAGTTCAAGTTCTTAGGTTCATGTTGCTCTAAAAGACTTGGGTGTAACCAATTTTCTAAGCTCCCATTTTCCATGAACTTGAAGACCAAAGCCTTGAAGTCGTTGCCTTGAAAATCAATGCTTGAGCAAGCTGTAATTATCTTGACGAGATTTCGATGGCGAATATTCTTCAATGCTTCACATTCTGTAAGAAAACTCTTGTTCGCTCCATGTTCGTGTAGTTTGAGCACCTTCACAGCAACAATTTGTTCATCGGAGTTGAGAATCCCCTTATAAACATAACCATGGCCTCCCTCACCAATTAAGTTGGCTGGAGAGAATCCATTGGTTGCTTGAAAAAGTTCTCCATAAGAGAGTTGTAAATATTGGTTTTGCAAAGGCAAGGCTAATTTGACTTGCTGTCTTGACCTTTTGTTTTGGTAAATAATAGCTAAAATGCCCAATGATAATAGAACAATAGTGAGAGTAACTATTAGAACTATTACTCTATGGTTGAAAGGTCGTTTCCTTTCATTTAAGGCTTGCATAGGGCATGCAGGCAATTGCAATAGTCTAATTCCTCCGCATAGCTTACTATTTCCAACAATTGAGAAGGCACTAATGTTTGTGAAAACTCCTCCATTCGGAACTTCACCATCAAACATATTGTAAGAAAGATTGAGATATTGAAAGAATCGAAACTCCCCGAGAAACCTTGGAATCTGTCCAGACAAGTTGTTCCTAGAAACATCTAGTTCTTGAATACCTTTCAATTGTTTGAAGGTCATCGGAATTGTACCTTCGAAAAGGTTACCTTCGATGTAGAGGAATACTAAAACTTCACAATTGCCGAGAGTGGTGGGGATTTCTCCAAATAGTTTATTTTCTGATACAAATAGTGCATTCAGATTTTTCAACTTACCCACTTCTTGTGGTAGTAGTCCTATTAAGTAATTTTGACTCAAGGACAGACTAATGAGGGAAGACAAACCAAAGATTTGATAGGGTATTGCTCCCATGAGATGATTGTAATCAAGATGAATGCGTTGTAGATTGGTACAATTGTGTAAAGAAATAGGAATGTTTCCCTTAATCATATTTGTTGATAGGTCAAGTACACCAAGCCTACTCAGGTTTGTAATAGACGATGGAATCTCTCCAGAGATGTTATTTTGATCAAGCGTGAGTTTTTCCAACATGGACAGTTTTCCAATGGAATTTGGAATGCTACTTATAAGCATGTTCTCACCTAGATTGATGGATTTCAAATTGACAAGGTTCCCAATATCAAGAGGTATGCTTCCAGATATATAGTTGCTTCGTAGAATCAACCAAGTGATCTGGGAGAGATTTGCAATAGAATGAGGCAACAAACCTTTAAATTGATTTGTAGCCAAATCCAAAATTTGTAGATTGGAACAATTGGATAAAGAAGTGACGATGCTCATTAATTCATTGCCAAGTGAATTTTGATGAGCATTTAATACTTCCAAAGCATCAAGTGTTCCCAGACTTTTAGGCATGGACCCAGTAAAAGAATTTCTGCTAAAATCAATTTGCACAAGTCCCGTTGCATTGGCTATTGACGATGGAATTTGGCCATAGAATTGATTGGATTCAACATAAAATCCTAGCAAATTTTGAAGTGTCAAGCCTAAATCTGGTGGTAGAATTCCATGCAATTGGTTGAAAGTGATGGAGAATAAATAGATTGATGAGATGTTGTAAAGCGAATTAGGAACCATACCAGACAAATTGTTTGCCGACAACTGAAGAAACTCCAACTTGGAAAGCTGCCCAAGTTGGGTGGGAATGCTTCCCTCTAGATTATTGTACATTAGACCAAGCAAACTTAGAATGGTAAGGTTCCCAATTGATGGTGGGATAGTTCCAGTGAAATGATTGTTTGAAAGTTTCAAAGACATCAGTTCGGACAAAGAACCTAGCTCGATAGGAATTTTACCTCCTAGACGGTTACCACGCATATCGATATATCTCAAGTGTGAACAATGAGTCAAATTGGTTGGAAATTCACCTTGGAAAGAGTTATTCAAAAGCAGAAGGTGCTGCAGACGAAACAACTTGCCAAGTTCTTGTGGGATTTCGCCATGAAAACTATTGTTACCGAGATCAATCCTCCTAAGGAAGGTGAGGTTCCCAATTTGAGAAGATACAGAACCCACCAATGCGAGAGATGATATGTTTAGGACTGTCACACGTTGATGTCGATGACCGCATGAGACTCCTTGCCAATTGCAAAAGTGAATGGAATGGTTCCATGAGCTCAAGGCACCTAGAGGATCTCCTTTTATCAAATCTTTGATTGCAAGCAGAGCCTGATGGTCTGTTTGGTTGGTGAGAACTAAACTGGGGTTGCCCTTGGCAGTGGTAATTAGTTCAAGAGGGTTCATGAAAAAGAAAATGAAACAAAGTACAGATGTACTAAGTAGACAACTGAGAAAAGTTGAATTTGTTTGCTCCATATTTTGTGTCAAATATAGAATAGTATTATTATGATGAGAAATTGTGCTGATCAACTTGTATACACTAACGGAGAGCCAAATATATGTATTTATAGAGCCAAAGCCTTGGGACTTCTTCGTGTGTTTTTTTTTTTATCGCCAAATTATGCAGGTAATTCTTATATTTTGATCCTTATGCTATTTGGTATCTGTAATTTTAATTGGCTCAATTTTAATATAAAATTTATGATTGTCTCAATTTGATCAAATTAATTTCAACTTTTAATATTTTTAATGAAAAATGTGCACACAAACATCATGTGTCATGCTTTTATATAAAAATTGTAAATTATTCAACTTTGTGAGTTGACCTGAACAAACTCAATAGCCATTTTCTTTTGAAAATCCTAGTCGACATTGAGCTAATTAAAATAACATGGACCAATTATTAAAAGTTAACCCAAAATAAGCTCCAAGTTAAACTCAAAATTAATCTAAAAATAAGCCTATAAAATCAAAATTTCCAACACTTTATTGACGTAGTCTGGTTTATATTATGCATTGTACTTTCTTTTACATACATCAATATTTTTTTTTTTTTAAATTTTTAGTGATTTAAAAAATATATATATTTGGACGACAAAATTATTGGCTGAGTTCAAATAACGTATACATTGGTTTTCCAATAAAAATCCACTTCAACTTTTTCAAAGTTGAATTTGTGGAAATATAACTTTGATATGGAACTTAATCGGAAATTATGAGTCCATTTGGTACTGTTTACAATTTTTATTTTTTTTGCCATAATGATTGGTATAGTTTTACTTACAATTATTAAGTAGGGAGAGTTTTTATTTTTTGATTATTAGCTTTTAGTTTGTTAGAAACTAAACCTTGTATGATCTGAAAAGTACTTTGAAAAGTAATTTTAAAATATAGCATATGTATGATATAAATTTAAACTTGATGTTACACGAATCAACATTCATAATAAACTTGATCTACAAATTTTATTTTTTAAATAATTTTCAAGATTTATTATTATTTTTTTTTTTTGTTTTGTTTTCTGTTTGATAAGGGAAGGCGGTGCCAATGATGGGTGGCGGTAGGCGGCGGTGAGTTATGAAGAGAGATGGATAAGTATGGAGAAATTAAATTTTTAGGTTTTAATTTATTTTAGTTTTTGGTTTAAATTTTTGAAATTTGGTTTAAGTATGAAGTTTAAACTCATTAACTTTTCTTAGATTTTTCAATATTATTAGAAAAATGATTTGTCATAATGTTATTGGTCATAAAATAATTGGACATTGTAAATAAAATTGAATTAAGTTATCTGATAAAGAAATAAATTAGGAGTTTCCATTAATTACTATTAAATCTTTTTAAAAAATTTCCCTTTAGATCTAGCTTTCAAATTTTAATCCAAAATTATGAAAATAAAAAAAATTAAAATTAAAATTAAAATTTCATCTCACAAACTTCTCTCCCATTTTCATCATTTTTTTTTCATTTTTAATTATTCTACATTTGTTTTAATATAATTTCGCTTAAATAATTGTTTTCATCAATTTGTTAATTTTTATCTATTATGTATACCATATATTATTACAAAATATTTAGGGTCTTTGAAGTTCTTTGCTATTGGTTCTCCCAACTTTTTGTTTCTATCTTTTGAATTTGGATAGTTATTCATTTTTTAAATTATACTTCTTCTAAATAATCCGTAAAGATAATTTTTGAAAATATATATATATATATATATACATTATAAAAGATAAACTACTCCCTTATTATTTTGATTATACTTCAAATGGTATTCAACTATAACCCATTATGTTTAACATCACAAATTATGATAATTTGCATATAGTAGGTACTCTAAAAGAGGGTGTACATGGCACAAGAATCCTATCAGTTAATATTATAACAAATTTGATTCACAAATCTAATTTTTAAATTATTATTATTTTTTTGGTGCATATATATTTTCTGAAAACGATAATGTTTGAGTTATGTGGTTAGGAGTTTGCTTCAAAGGTCAAATTGATGTAAACCTGTAGAACAATAATGACCAAAAATACACGGTCACGTAAATATGGGAATAAGGGTGTGTGTTTCCATTCCCTAAAAAGCGTACTAAGGGCTGGTTTGGGGTGTCCTAAAAAAGTGTATTTTTTGTCTTTATAAATTAAAAAAGTTGAAAAAAAAATATGGAGGTTTGGGTTAACTTTTTGGATTTTTATAAAAAAATGTGTATTAAAAAATTGTATAAAAAGAGTGTGTAAGAGATGAATAGTGACAGGTGGGCCCCAGCCGTACAAATCGGAAGGTGTGAATGGGAGTTAGAAATTATTGGCTACTTTTTTGTACAAAGCACTGCACGGTTTTGTTTGGTCTGTGGGGGTTATCACGGGTCCCATTTTAATAATCTGAACCGTTCAATGTGTATAACTCGTCGAACACTATGTACCTATAAAAAATCACTTTAATCGGATATCGATAGCTATCTGATCAGATATATTTATTTTTCAATCATTAATTATAATACCATCCATTTGTCGTACATAACTGATCAGATCATATAGTTATCGATATCCGATCAATGTGATTTTTTGCAGACATATAGTACTCGACGAGTTCTACACATTTAACGGTTTAGATTATCAAAACGGGACCCATGATAGCCCCCGCAGGCCAAACAGCGGTGTGTATGCAAATCACACCCAATCATTTCATATATGTGCACTGCCGCTGCACAGCGGCCGGCTTTTGGTCAATTCGGTGTGTACTTTGGGCAGAAAATAAGTATTATTATTTTATTTTTTTTGTGAATAGTGATATCTTTTTGGATTTTGGAGTAATTTTTTGAATTTTTGGCTTATTTAGGATAAGCCAAACCAGCCCTAAGGTCTTGTTGAGAACATGTTTTTTTAATAATTTTTTTAATTTTTTTGATTAAAATATGATTTAAAAAAATTAATATGTTTGGAATGATTTTTTAATTTTTTACGAAAAGATGTGCAAAATGTAGAGAAAAATAAAATCTTTGACTTTTTGGTATGGATTGTTGGCTTTTTAGTTTTTTTAGTAACTTTTTGATTTTTTAGCTAAAAAGAACACTTGTCAAACGAGACCTAAATTTATCTTGTTTGTTTTCACTTTTCAAAAAATACTTTTCAAAAAATTTTACTTTCTTATTTTCTGTATTTTTTTGTTTTTACTGAATTTTTTAAATATTTTAAGCAATTTTTTTACTTTTTAGACACACCTAACATAAATATACCTAAAAAATAAAAAAACTGTAAAAAAATTTTTTTAAAAATTCACTAAATACCAAAAAATATAAAAAAATTACAAAAATTCAGTATATTTTTTATATTTTTATGTATTTATTAATTTTTAAAAATATTTTTTCATAAATTTTTTATTTTTTAAATATATCTAAGTAAAATGTATTTAAAAAAATATATTTAAAATTTAAAAAATATTCACTAAAAATAAGAAAGACGAAAACCAAAAAAGTTATCTTTCGGAATAGTATTTTGTTGTTTTGCAACAAGTGTGAAGTAGATTTTTAGGTGTGAACACGTAATGCGGGTGTGTGTGTTTCCGATTCCTGAAAAAGAGTACTAACAATATTTTGTTGTTTTGCAATAAGTGTGAAGTAGATTTTTACAAACATGTTCCGTAATAAAACCAGGCAGAGTAAATATGAAGGCCTTGAATCTTCCTAGCTTTTCATATATCCTTTTATTACCAAAAGAAGTATAGTCTCCGAACTATTAGTTCCATATTTGTGAGACTAACATATCCCATAGGGGCGAGTGGGATTGTTTCTATGGGATTGGTATCCTATGGGATTAGGCTCTGAAATGTCCATTTTACTCTCATACTATTACTTAGCAAACAATTAGAAAATGGCAAAATAGTCTTTTGAACATTTATAAATTATTTTTTTAGTGTTGTTAATTTAAAATTATATATTAAATAAAAAAATTTAATTATAAATTATAAATTATAAATTATGGCCTTATAAATTAAATTTTTTTTGTGTTGTTAAAAAATTAAATTTACATATTAAATTAAATTATTTTTGTAGTGTTGTTAATTTAAAATTACATATTAAATAAAAAATATAAATTATAAAACAAATTTATTTAAAAATAATAAATTATAAATTATGGCCTTATAAATTAAATTTTTTTAGTGTTGTTAAAAAATTAAATTTACATATTAAATTAAATTATTTTTTTAGTGAAATATAAATTATAAATTATAAATTTAATTTAATTGAAAATAATAAATTAAAAATTATAGCCTTATAAATTAAATTTTTTTAGTGTTTTTAAATTATAGATTACAAATTTAAAATTATATATTAAATAAAAATTATGAATTACAAGGATAAAATAGTCTTTTGAATATTTATCTTATTCAGTCCATTTAATCAAACATTAGATTCACTAAAAATAATTCAATACAGACATCTAATCCCATGACTAAATAAACATAAGATACAAATTTAATCTAATTAAATAATCCAAAAATAATGTATTCTGAAATTAACAATTTAATAGATTACAATCTTTCTTAATCAGTCCATCCAAACAAACACATCTTAATAGTACCTTGTTGTTTTGCAATAAGTGTGAAGTAGATTTTTAGGTGTGAACATGCCACGTGTGTGATGTGATTGTTGTTGCCAGTATGACATCATCTAGTGGTATCCACCCTAACCAATTTGCCCGTATCCACTTTGGACCAAATAAGCAACTATATCCGTTCAATGTTACCCATTAAAAAGGATGGTTTGAAATGATATAAATAAATATTTTTTTTTATTTTTTATGAAATATAAATTGGGTATAAGTTAAATTTGAAGTGATATGATAAAAAAGTAATATGACTTAAATAAAATGATGTGACTTAAATAGGAGAAAATTGGTCTAAGGTCCCTGTCCAACTTTTAGTATGAGGAGAGATCCACAATAATATTTTCTGGTGTCTAAGGTCCCTCAATGTTAGTTTAGTTTATAAAATATCTATTTTACCCTTTTGTATATTATACGTGGTTTTCAATTTTGGAATCTGAAGATTACGTTACTATTTTTGTGAAAGATTACTTTGGGATGAACTTGGCGATCGATGGAGATTTCGATGATGCAAATTTCGTGGAAATTTTATAGGAATTTTGTAGTCGTATAGTAGTTGAGTTTCGTTGATCGTGTAGAAGTTGAAGTCGTGTTGAAGCTCGAATTTCCAGTAGAGCTGAATCAAGTAAGTTTAATAATCAGTTTAAGTTTTTTATTTTTCATTTGATTTGTATATATGGACTCCGATTTCAAATAAGTTTTTGTAGTTTATTTTGAATTAGGTTTTTATTTTCAGTTTTGATCAAAGTGATAGAAAAGCCAGCTTAGTGAATTATTTTTTGATTTTTGAAGTTGATTTTTCATTCTTTGTTATTGACAATGGAGTTGATTTTTCATTCTGTGTTACATGTTTATCAATGATAAGTTTTGTTCTTCGTGTTTGGAGACCGGCTCTGTTTTTCTTCACTGTCTTAAGTTTTGTGCTCTGTTTTTTTCATTTATTCTGCACTTTTCATTTTTCTACACTTTGCTTTGTATTCCAGAGAAAATTATATGTTCATATTCCAGAGAAAATTGTATGTTTATATTCCAGAGAAATTTCTCTGCATTCTGATTTGAGTCCAATAATGCACAATCACACAGAGAAAATTATAAGCTTGTAGTCCAGTGAAAATCACAGAGAAGCTTATAATTTGATAACTGATCTTCTGTGTGATTTTTGTCTATGATTGTGTTTAATAGTTAGCATTAAATTTCTCTAGATTCATTAATTTTCTTTGTGATTTTGTTTTTGTTATCTTGATGGTGAATATAAGTTTGTAAATTTTTCTGAACTTTTATTTGAGTCCAGAGAAAATTATAATTATTAGAAATTTCTCTAAAGAAAATTATAATTATTAGAAATTTTTTTTATATTGAACAAGTTATTTTTGGTATTTTTTGTTTCAGTTTAGATGGACAGTGCAGTGTTGTTACTGTGCAAATATAGGAATGATACTATTATCATTAATGTTTCATGCGAATTGAATTGATGATGCTATGATTTTACTTGCATTGAGTAAGAGACCAGCCAGGAGGCCAAAGAAGAACAAAATTGCTTCTACTGAAGAGTTTAAAAGGGTGATCATGATATGCCATGGAATTAGGCTTACTGTTGTGGAGAAGACTCAAAATTTGTTGGCACTGTTCTAAGGTAAATGGGAAAGAACTCGCAGTCTCCTTTTTTGTAGGTTGTTGTGAAGAAGCATGGTTCCCTTTTGATGAATTCGGCCTTGAGGGATTATAGCAATCATGGTGGTCCGTTCTTTGCAACATTCGACAGTTCTCAATGGTGTGACCTTTCTAACCACAGTAATTACAATTTAGGTGGGCTCAACAAGTCTCCATGGTGTGACCTATTTTGTCACAACAATCACACTTGAAATGGTCATTTTTCTTACCAAATATGGACCCTTTGTTAGTGTCTCTGAAATTTCTGTGGTCATTAGTATTAGAGTTGTTCCTCACTGCAAGCGTCGTTGCTTCAGGATGAGTTTGTTTCCCGGTTGAAACATCACATTGTCGTTCATGTTGAAGCACAAGTGAATATGCTCGATTGATTGTAGGAAATGGATCCATCAATAAGATTTGGCCTCGGATTGCAACATAGGATTCATTGAGTCCTATGAGAAATTTCATGGTCTTTTGACTTTGTTGATATTCCAAGACTGTTTTCATGGTGCCACAATTGCAAGCAGGGATCAAGCACAAGGCATAATGCTCATCCCACAATCCCTTGAGCTTGGTAAAATAAGAATCGATTGACTTGGTGTCTTGAATGCAGTCATGGATTTCACTTTCAATATGGAATAAGTGAACAATGTTATCGTGGGAAAAAAGGTCTTTCAGATCTATCCAAATCTTGTAAGTCACATCATAGTAGATGACACTAGCTGAGATATCCTTGGAGAGAGAATTTAATAGTCTTGATTTCACTAGATTATTGCATTGATTTCATCGTTGCAACTCGCTAACCAAGGTACTGTCTGGTTTCGTGATCGATCCATCGATAAATCCAATTTTGTTCTTGGCACTTAATGCCATGACCATAGCACGACTCCAGGTGCTATAATTGTATTCAGTCAAAGGCTGAGATATAAGAATCACACCAGGTTTATCTGAATGATGTAGATAGAGTGGATGATTTACATATTCATGTTTGGCTATTTTGGTCATGGTTAGTTGAGGAGTTCTTCCTTTCTCCTGTGTGTCTCACATGGAAGAAACGGCTGGGTTTTGTGTTTATGTAGAGTCTCTAGGTCACCAAGAGCTTATTGCTTTAATACCATGTGAAGAAATTGAAAAGCTGAATCAATTTCCCTTATCTTCCATTAAGGAATTTGTACATCTTTATACAAGAAGTTCAAGGAACCAAATCCTGTTTCAAAGCCTACAATTAAGCTATCGCGTTGCTTATGTATTTACAAATATAGAATAAAACAGAATGGCTATGTTGACTATATACAATCTTATAATTAACAAAGATTGCTGCAATCAAGTCATTTGATTATGTTTTCCTTAATATGGGGTCCACATGATGTGGACTCAACACCACTTACATACTATTGATTGTCATTTCTTGCAACAATGAGTGGTTGCAGAATATATTAATGATAATTAAGCCATTAATTACTTAATAAATAAATTATCTTCAACTATGCAATAATTAACTTGGTATAATTTTTAGAAGTGTAGTTTTAAATAACAATATCAAAAAATATATCAACTAATATCAAATAATATTTACAAATATATATCAATAATTAATCAAAAGTTCAATTTACATATCAGCCGATATTTAAAAGGGAAAATTGGTTTAAGGTCCCTGTCCAACTTTTAGTATGAGGAGAGATCCACAATAATATTTTCTGGTGTCTAAGGTCCCTCAATGTTAGTTTAGTTTATAAAATACCTATTTTACCCTTTTGTATATTATACGTGGTTTTTAATTTTGGAATCTGAAGATTACGTTACTATTTTTGTGAAAGATTATTTTGGGATGAACTTGGTGATCGATGGAGATTTCGATGATGCAGATTCCGTGGAAATTTTATAGGAATTTTGTAGTCGTATAGTAGTTGAGTTTCGTTGATCGTGTACAAGTTGAAGTCGTGTTGAAGCTCGAATTTCCAGTAGAGCTGAATCAGGTAAGTTTAATAATCAGTTTAAGTTTTTTATTTTTCATTTGATTTGTATATATGGACTCCGATTTCAAATAAGTTTTTGTAGTTTATTTTGAATTAGGTTTTTATTTTCAGTTTTGATCAAAGTGATAGAAAAGCCAGCTTAGTGAATTATTTTTTGATTTTTGAAGTTGATTTTTCATTCTTTGTTATTGACAATGGAGTTGATTTTTCATTCTGTGTTACATGTTTATCAATGATAAGTTTTGTTCTTCGTGTTTGGAGACCGGCTCTGTTTTTCTTCACTGTCTTAAGTTTTGTGCTCTGTTTTTTTCATTTATTCTGCACTTTTCATTTTTCTACACTTTGCTTTGTATTCCAGAGAAATTTGTATGTTTATATTCCAGAGAAATTTCTCTGCATTCTGATTTGAGTCTAATAATGCACAATCACACAGAGAAAATTATAAGCTTGCAGTCCAGTGAAAATCACAGAGAAGCTTATAATTTGATAACTGATCTTCTGTGTGATTTTTGTCTATGATTGTGTTTAATAGTTAGCATTAAATTTCTCTAGATTCATTAATTTTCTTTGTGATTTTGTTTTTGTTATCTTGATGGTGAATATAAGTTTGTAAATTTTTCTGAACTTTTATTTGAGTCCAGAGAAAATTATAATTATTAGAAATTTATCCAAAGAAAATTATAATTATTAGAAATTTCTCTAGACTTTTATGTTGTTCTTGTGAAGTATTTTTATATTGAACAAGAATTGATGGACTACATTTGTTATCATAAGGTAGGTATTATAATTCAGAGAAAATTATAATTATTAGAAATTTCTCTAGACTTTTATGTTGTTCTTGTGAAGTATTTTTATATTGAACAAGTTATTTTTGGTATTTTTTGTTTCAGTTTATATGGACAGTGCAGTGTTGTTGCTGTGCAAATATGGGAATGATACTATTATCATTAATGTTTCATGCGAATTGAATTGATGATGCTATGATTTTACTTGCATTGAGTAAGAGACCAGCTGGGAGGCCAAAGAAGAACAAAATTGCTTCTACTGAAGAGTTTAAAAGGGTGATTAAATGTAGTCGATGTGATAGGATTGATCGCCATAATAAGAGGACATGCAAGGAACCTTTGTTAAATAGTTGAGGATATTACATTTATTGATTGAATAATACATTTGAGAATTACTTTGTGTATTTTGTTTTGTGAAATGTACTTTTTGGACAGTGCATATATAATACCAATCAAATTCATCCAGAGAAATTTTTTAATAGCAGTGAAAATTACTTTTTGTGTTGCATTTTTAGAAACATATTTTGGGAGTGCCTTTATAATACTAATCAAATTGATCCAGAGAAATTTTCCTATAGCAGAGAAATTTGCTATGTGCATTGTGTTTGTTGAAATGGCCATTGCGTTTTGTGAGGTCAAATTCATCCAGTGAAATTTGTCAATAGTAGAGAAATTTGTGAGGTCAAATTCATCCAAAGAAATTTACTATGTGCATTGTGACAAATTTATCCAGAGAAATTTTCCAGTAGCAGAGAAAATTACTTTGTGCACTATGTTTTGTAAGGTCAAATTCATCTAGAGAAATTTGTGAGGTGAAATTCATTCCGAGAAATTTACTATGTGCATTGTGGCAAATTCATCTAGAGAAATTTGCCAATAGCATAGAAAATTACAATGTGCATTGTGTTTTTTGAATTTGATGATTGTTTCGTACCAACACAGTGCATTACAAATTACATGATCATATAGGCACCCTTTTGGGACGATACGAGTTAAATTTTTCTGTGAAATTCTGGTAACTTCATACAAGAAAAATTTCTTTAGACAATTTTCTTTGCGTGGATTGTGTTGATAATCACCACTAAATATGCATTATAAAAAAAATATTTAACCATTGATAGTTATGAAATTTACATTAGTTAAAACAATATATATACATATATGTCAAAAACATCATTTCTTCAATGTACGGAAAAAAAAATAAAAAAATTGAAGGGTCATTCCTAATTACATTGTGTACATTGTCTTCATTTCACTAGTATGCTTTCACTATTATACTTTTAGTTCTTCTTTTGGTGATATTTCAATTGGTTCTGTCCATGACCGGCCAATTTCGGTCGCAAATCTCCCTATGATTTTCTGTCCTCGTGAACCTTACGTCTTGTTTTGACAATGTTGAGCTGATAGGTTCATGGTTGCTATATTGTCTCATTATGTAGCAAACGAAGAGGCCACAATCCACACTGCATACAAATTATAGGTATAGTTAGTTTTAAGAAATATTCAAATTAGATTATCTTATTTATAGAGTTTCTGTTTCTTACTTGGTGTTTATGGTGTTTTGCTGCTTTTACATTTCGTCATTTTTAGACAATGAAAACATAAAGATGTCAACATTAAATCCCAGAGAAATTTACAGACAACAAGAGAAAATGGAACATGACAAACACACACAAAGGAGAAAAGTGATGTGGCCGGAGAAAATTGAAGAATGGAACAAACTAAACATATACCAGAGAAAATTACAAATGGCAAGCCAGGAGAAATTACATGCCAGAGAAAATTAACAAGGCAAGCCAGAGAAAATATGCATTCCATAATATAAAAATCCCAGAGAAATTTACAGACAACCAAAGAAAATAGAACATGACAGACACACACAAAGGAGAAAAATGATGTGGCCATAGAAAATTCAAGAATGGAACAAAATAAACATATCAGAGAAAATTACACATGGTAAGCCAGAAAATATTACATATATGCCAAAGAAAATTAAACAAGGCAAACTAGAGAAAATGTCATTCCATAATATGAAAATGCTAGAGAAATTTATAGACAACCAGAGAAAATTGAACATAACAGACACACACAAATGAGAAAAGTGATGTGGCCAGAGAAAATTCAAGAATGGAACAAAATAAACATACCAGAGAAAATTACACATGGTAAGCTAGAGAAAATTAAACACGTGTGTATTCCATAATATGAAAATGCCAGAGAAATTTACAAACAACTAGAGAAAATGGAACATGACAGAACCACACAAAAGAGAAAAGTGATGTGGCCATAGAAAATTTAAGAATGGAACAAAATAAACATACCAGAGAAAATTACACATGGCAAGCCAGAGAAAATTACATATATGACAAAGAAAATTAAACATGGCAAGCCAAAAAAAATATGAATTCCATAATACGAAAATGTCAGAGAAATTTACAGAAAATCAGAGAAAAATATGGAATAACCAGAAACAAATGAGGGAATAAACATCCCAGAGAAAATTCAAAGAAAACACATAGATCAAGCAAATACCAGAGAAATTCAAATGACAGAGAAATTTACAGACAAAATCACACAAATATCTTCAAGAATAAGTTCGAAACTTAGAGAAATAACATTTTTCAAATTCATGTAGGTTTTTATTACGAAATTGAAATCCTAATTAATGGAAGGCTAGTCAACTGTGTTTCAGAGAAAAACTAGTTAGATTGGAGAAAACTTACCAGAGTGATGATGAAAACCCTAATTTCGAACTGAAATGGCTTGAGATGAAGATGCAATGAGATGAAGATGAACTGAGATGACGATGAACAATGAAAACGGGTCAGAGAAATTTGTGAGGAACGAATTGAAAAGAGTTTGGCAGAAGATAATGAAACCGTAATGGCGACAGTGAAGATGATAGTGAAACCCTAATTCTCATGTTCTCTTACTCATGAAAATGGTTGGATGTTTGGAATGAATTGAGTCGTCGGAATGCAATCGAGTTGAGCATTCTATGTTGATCTGTGATGGGTATTTTGATCCAAAAAAAGAATTAAAAACGCGCCTGTCGTTAGTGAGGGACCTGAGACATCATTCCTATTTTTTGTGTCCTTTATGCTGTAAATTACTCTTATTAGGGACCTTAAAAAAAATTCTCCCTTAAATAAAATAATAATTTTTTCACTTTTTTAATATACCCCAAACTAAGCCTAAATGTGTTCACGTCATCTAGTGGTACTTGTAAATGTGTTCACATTGT